TTGGTGGGCATGGGCATTATATTTGTGGACCCTTTATCTCCACCAGTAAAGGGGACTGCTTAAACATATGATGTACATACATACTATGGAATAGCACGCTGTCATTAAAAACAGTGTTGTAAAAGAATTTTTGATGCAGAAAGATGTTCAAAATACAGTGCTTGAGACAAGTTTAAAGACTTTGTAAAGTGCATAGTATGACCATTTTTAATATATAAAATACGGTATAGAGAGAAGCCATCTGGAAAGATGTAAAGTGTTAACTGTGATCTCTAGGTTGAGTTTTCAGAATAGTGTTTAATTTGGGCTATGATTTTTTTTCTGGTTTTCTACAAAGAACATATGCTAATTGTGTAATATGAAAAAAAGTTATTTAAAAACACTTAACATTTCAAATATAGAAATTTATTTCAAGAGCACAAAACGAGAATAAATAGAGCTCCGAGGGGATGGGAAAGGTAGTGGTAACAGGATCTTGATTCTTCCTTTATCCTCAGATACTCCTTCCCACCCGTATCTTCTGGGTGGCTACCTGGCAGGGGTCCTAGGCCTTTTTCAGCCTTTGAGGGTCTGAGAGTAGAAGGGCTAGTGAGAGCGGCTAAGCTGAAGTCAAATCCAGGATTTTGAAATCCATGGAAACTTCTCTGATCTCTGTCCCCTACTGAGGGTAAATTCAAACCTCCTTTGGATTCTCGTAGTATTGATCAGTTCTATTACCTTCGCCACTCTGGAATGGCTTCTGTTATCATACATGGCCTCCACATTGCTAATCCAGCCTCAGTCCTCACCATACTGGACACATCAGAAGCACGGGCCATCTCTCCTTCCTCCTGCAGGCACCCTCCCGCTCACCCCCATTTCACTGGCTACTCTTTTTCAGCCACCGTTGTGGTTTCTTCTTTGTCTCTCCAGCCTCTTAATCTTGGAGTGTCCAAGGGCTCAGTCCTTGCAACTTTTCTTCTATATATACTTATTCCGTTAGTGATTTCATCCAGTTTTAGCTTTAGATATTCTCTTACACACTGACAATTCCTAATTGCTATCTCCTGCCTGGAGCTCTCCCCTGAACTCCAGATTTGTATAACCCGATGTGTTCCCATCTGGATTTCTCAAAGGCATCGGAAAGTTAATATGCCCCCAAAAGAATGCCTGTTCTTCCCCCACCTCTCCCCAGATTGTTCCTCAGTAAATGGCAACATCAACCTTCCTTGAGCTCAGACCACAAACCTTGGAGCCATCATGGACTTCTCTTTTGTTTCTCGCCTTACATGAGCAAAACCTATGCTCTACCTTACAAATATGTTCGTATATGCTCTCCTTACGCCCTGGCCCATGCCAGCATCTCCCCCTGCCTGGATCACTGCAGCGCCTACAACCTAGTCTTCTTGCTTCCTTCCTTGCTCCCTGCAGTCTACATTCAACTTAGCAGACAGAGTGATCTTTCAAAATACACATCAGATGATGTCACTTCTGAGCTCAAAAAACTCCAACAGCTAAACATAAACAGATGATACAACCCATTACTTTTCTTTTAACCATGCTCTGACTTCTGGATCCAGTTTCACAGTCCTTGTTATTCCTAAATATTCCAAGCACATTCAAAGCCCCAGGGCCTTGCACTTGCTCTTCCCCCTGCAGGCAATGCTCTTTCTTCAGATATCCATCTGGCAGCCACGTTTTTGGATCTTTGCTCAACTGAGACCTTCCCTGACCTCCCTATTTAGAATTGCAACCCTCTACTCCCATCACTCACCACTTCCTTTCCCTGATTTATTTTTTCCCATAGTACCTAATACCTAACACATTCTATCACTTGTTTTTTCCCTCCCTTTCCCAGATGTAAGATCCTTGAGAGAGCGATTTATTTCCCTCCACTAATCCTAGAGCAGTAACCTGACATAGATTAGGCACTATTTATTGGATGAGTAATAATCAGTATATCTTGTATGCTAGTTTCACCTAGAGAAATGTTTCCCCCACTAGACTGTGGAGTGTTGAAGAAGAGGGTGGGCTTCACTGTGACTCCGTCATCTTCACCTGCAAAGTGTCTATTATAGTGTCTTACACATCATCGATGATTGGTACATGGTGACTCCATGATGAAAGCACAGACTCACACTTGTTTCACTCTAGAAAACAGGTCATCCAGAAGAGCCTGGCTAGTTGTTAAAGGCAGGTGTCACAGACACCAGCGATGCTGGCTGCATGTGGCCGCAACCCCACGAGCTAATTGCATCCGAAAACAGTTCCTAGCACAGTGATTATCTGCGTCTACTCTCTTCTCTTCCTGATAGGACATATATTGAAGAGTTAACATCTCTGGGAATAACCTTCAACCAATAGGGGCAGGAGTTGGAGGATAAACGCCCCAGCCTCCCGAGCTTCTGGTCAACATAGCCTGGATAAGATGGTGTCAGTTGTGTTTAAGCATGAGCTGGGAAGTATAGCATTTAAACATGTAAGAGGTTGTCACACAGTTACTATACCACGAACAGGGCTTTCGCTTGACAATGCCATCTAAGTCATTTATTTTTAGCATCCAGCAATGCCTAGCACCTAGCAAGTGCTCAGTGGATGATTGGAAAATGAAGAAACATGCCCTTAATGGTGGAGCAATCTTCAGAGTTTGCTTAAAAATGGTGACTTGAGAATGATGTTCGTAACTGGTAACTCTCTACATACGAGCACACACTTCTTGACTTCCCTAGGAAACTCCTTTCTACCTTACCGCCTATGAGATCTGGGAAGCAGTGCTTCATCAGTGCCCTCAATGAACCCAAGAGGTTAGGCCAGATGGCCCCCTGAGACCATCTAGTTAAATCCAATCAACCACTGAACTGGGGCCAGAACCCAAATGTCTAGTCCTCTCTCCACAGTAGCCACTGTAAAAATTCCAAAAAAGAAATTAATTCTGGAGGCTAACAGCCATGGTATTTTCAGATTCAATTTCAATAGTATTGCTGTTTAAGAAAGGCTGCCAGAAAGATAATGGAGATGAAAAAGTGCTCTGTAAACTGTAAAGTGTTATCCAAAGGTGATCTGAGGTTCACTGCCAAGGTCAACAAACCCAGATCTGGGTGTAGAGCCAGCTCTTAAAATGAGAGGAGCTAAGGCTGCTCATTCAAGGGGCCCGTCTGTATGGGACACCGGAGTACTCGATGGGATCAAAAGGACAACAGTTGGTCACCTGGTACCACCCTCACCCCTCCCCCTATTTTAAGTCCAATACACTTATGTTGAATAGAATATTTATGCTATGTGTTTGTATTAAGCAATACTTACACTATGTATTGGTATTAAACTGATGATCTTCTGGACTTCCTTCCTTTGGCTTGTATTTCAGAGGCCACACATTGAGCAGAAGCCACCTGCACCTCTGGGCAATGAACTGTCTCTCTAAAGTTTCCAACCGTCTGGGTACATTAGTGTTTTTCTCCCACATTAGTTTACATTTGTCCCAGCTGCATTAGAATTTAGATTCTGCACATACTCTGGCTCTCAAAACCACATTCTTCTGCGCTCACACTACCTCTTTGTCATCTAACAACTGAATACGCATTGTTCCCCTGGCTTGGCTCATGAAAAGGGACCCTGGTGAAGAGTAAACTTCCCATTTTCTGGGCTTCCTTATCCCAGTGCCCAACACTAGAAGGGCAGCCGTGTTTGGTGACCTCCCGCGTTAGGTTAACGATCTGGGTCTGCGCCCAGGCTGGATAACGAGCCCGTGAATAATGGGGAGCGGATTGTTAAAGCCGTATCATGGTGAAGCTGAGAGGCAGAGACAGCTTTTCCCTGCGCACCCCTGCCCCTTCTCCCCAAGCATCTTTTCTTAATCTGTCGGAGCTAATGGGGTTTATGTGGCAGACATTCATTCCTCACAAGCTCCAATTCAAGTGGCGGTGCACTGGTTCAGTCTCAGATGTTTCTACACTTAGAGGCTTGTAAAACAGTCAAGAAAGATAGCAGATAAACTGACAGAAAGCCTTCTGTTCTAGGTTTGAAAAAAGGCTCTACTTTATTTCTCCACTGTAATAGGAGTCTTGAAAAGGCCAAATTAGAGGTACAGAAAAAGGGTGAAATAGGAACACTAAAAGCCATACTACTACTGCAGACAACCCAGCAGCTGCCTTTTCATTTCCTTCCACATATTTCCCAAGTGATATATATTCACGAGAGACAGACTTGGAGAAAAGGTTTTTACTTACTGCTGTATGAGCAGAAAAAACATAAGCAAAACCTTCCTGAGCTCTTGTTATTCATCAATCATTAGTCAAATTTTTACTTGTCAAGAGCAAAACTTATTGGGGAAAAAATGAGAAAATGAATGGTCTTATGTTCTTATTAATTTTCCAAGTATCCATATAAGGGGCTGAGAATAATTCTGGGACTCCGAAGTCCTAGACTAGCTTGCAATCTTTTCACACAACCCAAAGCCAAACGTGGGTTATGCTTTAAAAAAAAAATGGTCAAGAGATCGAGACCATCCTGGTCAACATGGTGAAACCCCGTCTCTACCAAAAATACAAAAAACCAGCTGGGCATGGTGGCACGTGCCTGTAATCTCAGCTACTCAGGAGGCTGAGGCAGGAGAATTGCCTGAACCCAGGAGGCGGACGCTGCGGTGAGCCAAGATCGCGCCATTGCACTCCAACCTGGGTAACGAGAAACTCCGTCTCAAAAAAAAAAAAAAGTTACTAAGAATTGGTGGTGTGGTGGACTCCAGGGGATGAGGTGATCTCAGCTCACCACTGGCTGGGAAGAGGATCTCTCAACTTCTTATCTCTTTGGATTAAATTTTTAGCTGGAGTTTATGAGCAGATGTGTTTGTCTATTTCCAGGTAACAGAGTTCCTGAAACTACCCTCAATTCCACGGTCTGTTCATTGGTAAGGCTAAACTGTTGAGAGAGGGCTAGGGTGGAGGGTGGAGGAAAAGCCAGGGGGCTTTTGCCTGCTTTAAAATTAGACCACTGAGGGCAAGAAAGAGGCAGGTTTCAAGTGCTTGGTAAACGAAAAGCAAACTTCTTTATTGTACACAGTACAGAATATAACGCAGCTTGGCAGGATGCATACGGCCCTGCGCAGGGGAAAGTATTTCAAATCAACTGGCAGGTTAAAGTCTTTCTGCACTGTAGACTTTCCACACTCTGGAAAAAAAGCAAACAAACAAACCCCAAAGAACCCCCGAAAAAAACAAAAACCATCCGGGAGGCGCATGAGTCCAATGGGAATGCAATGGTGAGCCGCGGTCCCGTGCTGGTGACAGCACAGGCCACGCAGTTACAGCAGGGGAGGGGCAGCTCAGGCTACAGAGGATTATTTTCATATTGCTAAGACAGCATAAATCCATTCAAAAAAATCCAAACCAGGATAAGTAAAGAAAGGAAAACCAAATCTATACAGCATTTACAACAAATAAATCTCTAGCCAGCTGGGGGTAAAATATGCATCTATGTATAGACTATGTGTAGGTTAAGAAAGCTATAAATATGGTTTAGAAAGAGTCCTTGATTAGAGTACAGTGCTAATTAAGGCCCAAGCTATAGGTTTACCACCTTTGTGGGCTAATTAGCTTCCAACAGAGGAGAATCTCATGTTTCCATAGCTATAAAGTGCACCCCTTATCCCTGCGAGCCGCTTCACAAATGTGCTGTCGGTCATAAGGGGGACTGTTTGGGACTATGGAGTGCTCCATTAATAGAAAAGCAGTTCAAAGCATGTGCCTCACACTCACAGAGTCAGCACTGCCTCCATCACGTACGAGGAACAGCGTGGTCATTCTTAATGTGCTAAGTGTCGTGGGGAGCACAGAATTCTACCAGCAGGGCAGGCAGCAAGGTACCACCAGTAACTTTTCCTCTCCCTTGAGCTCAACTTTCACATAGCCTTAGCTTGGTTGTTTAAAACTTTCCCAATATAATACAGCAATGAGAATAATTTTTTTTTTTTTTTAAAAGGCAGGAATCTAGAATGCTAGCACTGTTGCTTACCTGTCAGTATCGCACATAAGTCTCAAACCCTACTGAGTCATACAGGTAGGGTTTAAAGTCCAAGATTTAAAGAAAAAGGAAAACAAAACAAACTGATGAAATGGAAATTGTCATCAGTCACGCCCAGGGAAGAATCTCAAGAGTTCTCACCAGGTGACCAGGTTTCCTAAGGACATGACACATGTTATATACATATGCTTTCCAGAGAGGGCATGTTAATGAACATGGGGAACTATACACAGAGAATCTAAGCTTGTGTCCAGGCTGCCCTGCACACTTCAAAAATGTACAACTCAGGTGCAAATGTTCCATCAGGTTGTCTGGTACAGAAAGCACAAAGCAGGCAACAAGGCGGGCTTTCACATGGCCAAGGAGAAGCCCCAGCAAAGCCCCTCTCAAGCTGCAGTGTCTTCGTAAGTCAGCACGGCCCTGGTTCAAGGACACAGTGCAGTTACCAAAAGGTTTTTGTTTTTTTGTATTTTTTTGCTTTAAATACCAAAACTACAAAAATCAGTTTATAAACTGTTTTTCTAAAACAACCACCAAAACAAAACAATCCCCCAAATCAAGGCAAAACAAAATACTGTCAAAAGTGTTAATCGCCCTTCTCCTAAAATAAAAGTCATCCGCACTCAGCCATGTGATTGGGAAGAGAAAGGGTGCTTGCTCTACTTGGCGACCACATGGCCGGACAGTTCCCAAGAGTAGCAATGTTTTATGATTTTGAGAACCACGGAGTGGGGAACAGCTATTCTGACTGCCCCCCCCCTCCGCTCTCCTAGACAAGGGGTAACATTTCAGATTTAGCTAGAAGAGCTTTCCAATTTTTAAGATATATTTTTAACCCTTCATGGTTTGAGCCTCCCCAACTTAGCCTACTCCCTTTTCTATGGGTTTATGATTTCTTTTTCTAGAAATTGTGCAAATCAGAGCCCTTCTACATAAAGGCATTTAGTAGTCCATGATCAATGCAGATTGTCACATACTGTGTCCCGTTTTGCGGGTACTAACCTGAACAAGATATTGCTTTGCATATATTGTCCATGGTAAGGAGACTCCATTTTGATCTCTTCCCAGAAACCCATCAGAATCAGAGTTGAGGCACCAGCCTTTTGGTGGTTTTCTGCCCCTCCCTGTTCCCACTCCCCAGCCAATGTATCTGTCTTTAAGGGTGCCAATCCAGAGACGGCTTGGGTTCTCCAGATAATACTCAAAGGGCAAGCTTTAGAAACAGCCAAAAACACAAACAAAACCACTGCCCTCATTTGCCTGAATGGGAACTGCTAGCTCTAGGGTTTGGCTACTCTGCCACTCAGAAACTTAGTAAGCAAAGCCTTCAGCATAGGGGAGGCTGCTGCAGCGATCCATATCCAGGAGGTAAGCGGGGCTGTCTTCAAAGTGGGTCAGCGGCAGGGTGTCCTCCTCGCTGAGGTGGCACTCGGACTCCGCCTTCAGGAACGGACGCTGGTTATCCGGGAAAGCCATAGAGAAGAGGGCATCTGGGTCACAGACAAATTTGTAGACGTATCGCTCTCCAGCCACCTGAGGGAGAAAATACACCTTACAGGGTCCATTTGGAACAGGCCAGAGGATCAGGGGAAGAAAACTGGGCATTCCTAGGTCACAAAGCCAGGGACCAAAGAAGCAGCTGATTACCCCAATCACTCAGATTTATTCCGAGAATCCTGGGAACCTATTACCTGCCAAGTGTTTTACCGATACTACAGCAGTTAAAAAAGAATCTCAATTTCAAATTCACATTAGATGGACTCTTAAGAGAGAATCCTCACTTTCTGTCTTCCAGTGACAGCCTCAAAAGCATGGTTATGCTGAGCCTGGAGTTTGGTGTTCCAAAAAGGTGTAAGGACTGACAGGTGCAAGGCCTAATAGACCACATTTTTGGTCGCCTCCAGAATTTACAGTCTTCATAGTATGGCCACATTACTTTGAAAGGTTAGAAATCTGATTAGAAAGAGCCTGTGCGGAAGCCTTAAGTATGTTCCAAAGCCAAAAAGAATTGCTTTTGGCTTACCGGCAGCTTTAAGCTTCCCGTAGCATGGTGCTGCTACACTCAGAACCGCAAACTACCTTTCTATGGGTCTTCCGCATTATCATATTAGAACCAGAAGGTCTTGGCTATTCAAGGGCCTCATGGTATGTGGCTGATGAGCCATCTAGGTCAATGGGATCACCCTCTCTCAGTTGCTTGGTTAGCAACAGTACAAGAGGCACCTAACACTGAAAATCAAACCCAATAATCGGCTTCTGTCTGGAGACGCAGAGAGGCAAGGGAAGGCAGCCAAAATTACTGATAAAATAAACATTTGAGATTTAAAAATTCGAACTGTTGAGTTTAATCCTGCCCTTCAGTCATTCTGCTGTGACTCTAAAATCTTTTTTTAATTCAACAAGTATGGCTCTGCTTCCAAATCTCTATCAATCAACCATCTCTAGTTAGTGTTGTATGCCACAGTTTTACCTTAAAGCCCAACTCCAAAAATGAGTCCTGTGGAAGAATGAGGCAGGAGAGCACAGTGAAAATAATCCTAGATCAGAAGCCAGGAGCCGCATGGCTTCCAGGCCTGGTTTAGTCACTAATGAGTCTTAACCTCTGTGAATCTCAATTTTCCTTTAAAAAATAGAGGGTATGGGACTACAGTTTTTGTTAAGTCTCTCTACTTACCGACAGGCTATCATTCACCTTTTAATGAGCTCTCATTTACTCATGAGTCATATAACAAATAAAATAATAACCCCTCCCTTACATTGGATGATACATTGTTTCTGAAATATTTTCAACTATATTACCCAGTGATATCAGAGCAAGAATTATTATCTACATTTTTATCAGAAATAGAGGCTTTGGGAGATTAGGTGACCTTCCTCAAACCATACTGCTAACAAACTGAAATGTTAGGATCTGAGCCCACCCAAGCCTCACTCCTGGGTCTTCTTTGTACTCTTTCCCCTATTTATTTTCAGAAATAAAATTCTATTCTACTTCCTTAGAAAACACAGAAGTGGCTGGGCACAGTGGCTCACGCCTGTAATCCCAGCACTTTGGGAGGCAGAGGCAGGCGGATCACGAGGTCAGGAGACCAGCCTGGCCAATATGGTGAAACCCCTGTCTCTACTGAAAATAAAAAAATTAGCCAGGCGTGGTGGTGCGCACCTGTAGTCCCAGGTACTCGGGAGTCTGAGGCAGAAGAATCACTTGAACCCGGGAGGTGGAGGTTGCAGTGAGTCAAGGTCATGCCACTGCACTACAGCCTGGGCAACAGAGCGAGAGATTCAGTCTCAAAAAAAAAAAAAAAAGAAAAGAAAAATAAAAATCCAATACAGCAATCAAAGTTTTGCCCAAGCAATTAGGTATCTTATAGTACCATTAACAGATATAATAACCAATAAGTAAAAAAGTAAAGAGTTATTTTTGTCCTTGTTAAGGTTGAGATGCCTATTAAACATCCAAGTTGAGATCTCAATTTTACTCAACTAGGAAATAGTGTTACTGACTTACATAGCAAACAATGGCAAGGGAGCAGTTTGCATGGGGAAAGATTATAAATTGGGTTTTCAGCTGTTGAAATTGAGATGCTTGTGAGAGACCTGAATAGACATGTTGCAAAGGCAGTTGGATATCTTAGTCTAAAACTATGAAGAGAAATCTGACCTGGAGATAGCATTTGGTAGTTGCTGGCATATTGGACACAGTTTGGAGCTATGGGGTTGAATGAGGTGACCTCTTGAGAAATATATACCTTGTCATCATTTCTACACCAGAATGGCATGAAGCAGGGGTAAGCGTTTTCTCAAGGCTGGCTATTTCTCACCCGGGTCTTCTCTCCTTCAGATACTCAAATTTTAAAAAAGATTTCACTGGGCACTCTTCTTCTGGAGGATGGAGATAGGGGTAGAGCACATGGTCCTTATTCTACCTCTAATTTTATTCTTCCTCTCCCTTCTCCCTCTCTGCCCCAATCTTAGAGCTATTTAATAAATCAGAGGGGTGGGAAGGGGCTTGTTCTCTATAGTCACCATCCCTTTGTGCCAGATCATCACTGGAATAAAACTGAAAACTTCCTTTATTTCTAACAACTACTTTTCCTGGGGAAAGTGTTGCTCTGTGTCACGTAGTCTAAGTCAGGTTAGAGTAGGAAATAAATAGAAAAAGCTGGTTAAAAACAAAAATATTATTTCATACACTTGTTCCTTACTGCAGGTCCCTTCTCTATTCTGTAGGTGTATTTATTTCCATTTCTTTACGTAGCAATCCAGTTTAATTTTCAGTATACTGGCAGAGTTTCATTTTCGAGAACGTTCCCGTAAGTTCTAAGGTAAAGATTCTCTAGGAATGAGATCATTGTAGGGAGGCAAAATTTGATTTTGTAAAATCACTTATGCTTTTATAAAACTCTTAACCTGGACAATTATCTGGATATATATGTTCTCAATCATTACATATATATATATATAATGTAACCAGGCACAGTGCTGTGTGCCTATAGTCCCAGCTACTAGGGAGGCTGAGGTGGGAGGATCATTTGAGCCCAGGAGTTTGAGGTCAGCCTGGAAAACATAGTGAGACTCAATCTCTTAAAAAAAAAAATCTGTTTTTCTCTAATGACCAGTGATGATGAGCTTTTTTTTCATATTTTTTTGGCTGCATAAATGTCTTCTTTTGAAAATTGTCTGTTCATATCTTTTGCCCACTTTTTGATGGGGTTGTTTGTTTTTCTCTTGTAAACTTAAGTTCCTCATAGATTCTGGATATTAGCCCTTTGTCAGATGGATAGATTGCAAAATGAGATACTATCTCATGCCAGTTAGAATGGTGATCATTAAAAAGTCAGGAAACAATAAATGCTGCAGAGGATGTAGAGAAATAGGAATGCCTTTATACTTTGTGTGAGTGTAAATTAGTTCAACCATTATGGAAGACAGTGTGGTGATTCCTCAAGGATCTAGAACCAGTAATACAGTTTGACCCAGTAATTCCATTACTGGGTATATGCCCAAGGGATTATATATCATTCTACTATACAGGTACATGCACATGTATGTTTATTGCAGCACTATCCACAATAGCAAAGACTTGGAACCAACCCAAATGCCCATCAGTGATAGACTGGATAAAGAAAATGTCGCATATATACACCATGGAATACTATGCAGCCATAAAAAAGGATGAGTTCATGTCCTCGGCAGGGACATGGGTGAACCCATCATTATCAGCAAACTAACACAGGAACACAAAAACCAAACACTGCATGTTCTCACTCATAAGTGGGAGCTGAACAATAAAAACATATGGAAACAGGGAAGGGAACATCACACACTGGAGCCTGTTGGGGGTTGTGGGGCTGGGGAAGGATAGCATTAGGAGAAATACCTAATGTAGATGACAGGTTGATGAGTGCAACAAACCACCATGGCATGTGTATACTTAGGTAACAAACCTGCACATTCTGCCTATGTATCCAAGAAAATTTTTAAAAAATCTTTTGTTTTCTTTCCAAAATAGTTAAAATAAAACACATCATTGAAAACATAGCTAGTTACATTGCTTAATCTCTTTAAACTAATATTTTTAAATTTTTGGCCTAAGGACCCCTTTACACTCTAAAATACATATATATATATATATATATATATATGTGTGTGTATATATATATATATATATATATATATATATATATNAAAAAAAAAAAAAGAAAACAGAAGCTAGTCCTAAGGACAGCTCATTTCCACTGGTTCAAGCTACTGTGTCCTGGGCTGTTCTCCCCATGTTGGATCTGGAGTTGGGAACAGCAAAGGAATCGTGGCTCTCCCACCTGAACTTAGGATTTGACCTGATGATACTGACTCCAGGAAGGACAGGGGAAAATCGGGAGGGACTGCTGATGGGTATGGGGTTTCTTTTTGGGGTGATAAAATGTTCTAAAATTGATTGTGGTAACGGTTGTACAGCTCTGTGAATATATAAAAACCCATTGGACTGTATACTTTAAAAAAAGGAGAGGTAGGGTAGGGGGACCAGCTATCTTATAGCAATTAACTTTGTGTCAAGCACTGAAGTTAAACCTCAGTTTCTACCCTGAAGGAGCTTATATTCCAGAGGCGGGTAGCAAGAAGAAAGGAGTTACTTAAGACACAGTGAGAAGAGAAGTGGTAGGAACAAGTGCTGGTGCCATCAGAAGCAGCAGAGGGGACTGCCTAACCCAATCTGAAATGGAAAGGTGATGGTTGAGACAGAAAACAAGGAGGGGCTGGCCAGGTACTGAGAGCATTAGGAATGTTCTAGGTCTTAAGTAGAATGGTAGTTTAGTAGGTGTTTTCCATTTTATGGTATGCTTGATAATGTACATGCATGTAACATGTATTCTTTGGCAAACAAATACTACATTAAATTAAAAGGTGGCTATGCTGGTGAAAGCAGTCAAGTGGGAGTGAGGAAACGGGAGTGACGTGGTGATCAGACTGGGAACAGCCTCAGAGCCTGTACGAAGCACTAACAAGTCTAGAGTGTATCCGGAAGATCACAATGAGTGTTGAGTATTTTTTAAGGTGGTGAGGAGAATAAGGGGTCACAATACCACCCCACTATGAGAAAGATGAATCTGGCTTCTTGTAGGCAAGTTCTCAGCAGCTATGTCCATATGTTTCTGCCAAGTTTATCTTATTAGCTACTGCCAGGTATACTGCCTCAGTGTGTAAATGCTGGGATCTGGGCAACAGTACATTACAGAGTTTGGTGGCTAAGAAAGACTTGCCATTCCCATTTTCTACTTATCCATGGGTGTTAAGACTATGGCCTCTCACTACCTAGCCCAGTAAGAATTTTGTACTGATTTCCTCAAAATATGCTTTGTCCTCTGCTCCACAAAGATCAACCTGCTACCAGGTGACTCTGCTGTCATTCTACAAACCTAGGGTTTTTAACTTGAGTTCAGTTTCTGTAAGTCTGAAAGAAAAATCAGATGTTCTTATTCCTCTAACACTTCTGAGCATATCAAACTAACAGATTTGGAGGTCTAGGTGTTTTAACAATTAAAGACTTCAACCAAGCTGTTGAAGTAGAGACCTTCAAGTTGATTCCCTCATGGAGTCCTTTTTGGATACAATAGTTAGCCTAAGTTTCTGGAAACTTTCATACGTACAGGCAGTTTGGGGAAAGCAGAGGAGCCTAATTTTTTATTGTGTATTCTACATGCAACTTCCAGTTTCCACATACCCAACAGCACTCAGTGTACTCTTAATACCTTACTTGATTCTTGTCTCAAGTTGTCTTCTCAAGATTCTTTCCTACCACAGAATCACTTAGGGGGCTAACATTTATTCTTAGCAACGATCACCAGTCTCACTACAGAAGCCCTGGACTTTCTCCTTGAAAGAGAACAGAGTGGGCTAAGGGTCTTGCATAATGGCTCACCTTCTGCATGATACCCTTTTCATAGTAGTAGCGGAGAGAGCGGCTCAGCTTGTCATAGTTCATGGCTGGCCGGTTCTTCTGGATGCCCCAGCGCCGAGCAACCTGAAGGGACAGGAAAGTGAAGAGCAATGGAAACATGTTCTCTGGGCCCCGTGTCCTCTCCCAATCCCAGCAAAGCCAGGTCTGTAACCTGACTGCTCTGGTCAATGATCTAGTACTCTGACCTGGAAGGGAAGGCATTTAACTCCCTCAAGACCGAACGCTCAACAAAGGCGATGATTCAGTGACCACTAGGAAGTGAGACCTAGAGATGGAAGAATGCTAGCACTTTAAGATTGCAGAGGGCTTGGCTAACGTCCCAGAGGATGCAGGCCCTCTACTGTTTCTCCACATATGAATTATCGACCAATACCCATAGACCATTAACATGTTGCCATTAAGTGCTATGGTTTCTGTAGCAGTCAATAAGGAATAATTAGAATGGTCATTCCTGAAACATTAGAAACACACTAGTGAGTTGCTAATGGGCCAGCAGAGCAAAAGTTCAATTCTAATAAGATTGGAGGGGGGCTGGGAGATGTTTACTTATTGCAGCTCACGGACTGAGGGGGAATCAGATCATTTCAGCCTGTTGCCATCCAATCCCATGCTCCCAGCAGACTTGCAGAATGGACATTAAAGCATGTAGCACCATTATCCACTTAATGAAAAATTAACAGGGTTTTCCAAACAGTTCTGAAATGCATTATATCCAACCCAGTCCATCTGAGGTGCAGTGATAGGGCAATATAATTGGAGCTCTGGGCAAAGAAGCCTTATAGCAGGAAAACTTCCTAGGTTAGGTTACCCAATTATCACATCAGCCAAGCAATTTCTGTTCTGAAGTATATCAACTTCCAAAATCCTACTTATGACAATGACTGTCAAGGTAGGAGAATAACCCTGGAAATGTGAGTTTTCTCAAAGGTTTTCAAATGTATGTAAACCAAGGGTCAGGGGTCATGTTTTGAGCATTTTAGGTCAGTTTTGGAAACTTAAAAAAAATTTTAAAAACTAACTATATTCCTATATTCCTTTGGTATTTTATTTTTATTTTCTGAGACAGAGTCTCACTCTGTCGCTCAGGCTGGAGCGCAGTGGCACGATCACGACTCAATGCACCTTCTGCTTCCCAGGCTCAAGTGATTCTCCTGACTCTGCCTCCCAAGCAGCTGGGATTCTAGGTGTCCATCGTCATGCTCAGCTAATTTCTGTATTTTTAGTAGAGAGGGGTTTCACCATATTGGCCATGCTGGTCTCAAACTCCTGACCTCAAGTGATCCAACAGCCTCAGCCTCCCAAAGCGCTGGGATTATAGGAGCAAGCCACCACATCCAGCCCCTTTGATATTTTAAAAGCCAAATGTTAAACACGGAGTAGGAAGCAGAGAGAAGACAGCATTTCACATAAACCATTTTCTTAAAATATCTGGGGAGAATGAAAGCAACATCTCCTAAATTCAGGATTCTAAAATGACCTTTAATAAAAACCAAAAAAGATCTGATGAGAATGCATCTCTCTCTTAATTACATTAATAGCAATGATTCTACTCTGCCTTGCAAGAAACCCTGTGAAAGTTAAATTTCCGTTCAATTGCTTTATGTCTCCACAGCAGACACGATGTCCTGGGTCTCTCTTTACTCCATATGGTACTCACTCAACTCTACCTTTCCAACAGCCCAAAAGGCAAAATTAACCAAAAATTACATCCTGGTTAGAGAAGATAAACATTTTAAACCAATAGAAATAATGGTAAGAAGAGAAATCTGCTAACCCAATAATATATGTCATTGTACCCTGTTCAAAAGAAATGATGCTTTATAAAACTAATCTTTACCTGCTGTCTGCCATAAGTGACACAGGGAAACTGCAAAGAAGCCTCATCATTTTACTATGTTCAGGGGTGGAAAACAATCCTTGAAAATTCTTCAACTTTAGCGGCCACCTCTCAGCTGTCACTTGCATATGCAGTTGCTTACTGGAGAGAGGTTTGGTATATGCACAGATTTCAACGCAGCTCTGGTAGCCATAGTTACTGACTCATCCTCTCGGGCCAGAGCCCTGTGATTCTCTAGCCCTCATAACGGCTGTTCCTTCTACAGTAACGCACGATGCGGCTCAGCTCCAGAGCAGCTGGGAATTAGGGCTGCCCCTCTTCTGGGACTGTGGAGGCAGGCAAATGGCTTGTCACCAGATCGTTCTTCCTTTCTTCTCTCTCATCAGTTACTTTGGTAGCACGCATCTTGAGGACTGAGGCTGAAGGAGTTAAGGGATCTACCTATCCCTTCTCCCCTTTAAAGAGAGAAAAGCCACTGAACTGGGAATGGCTCTTCCTAGCAGCCCATCCCTTCAAATCTCCTAGCATCAGTTATCTGCCACATGTTCAACAAACAACCCTACCCCCCAAAATATTCATTAATGCAGATTCACAGTTAAAATGGCTCCAGATTAAAGCCGAGTCAGTCATAATTGAGAGGGTGCTAAGCTGGATGACTATCAAAAGACATTTGATTAGGGGGCCTGCCAAAATGCAGTTCTAAAACCACAATTTCCATGCACAGTGTAATGGATATTATGGATAATTACCCAGAGTGCACTACTCAGCCACACAGCTGCCTACAATTACGTCCTCAACAGCTTCCTCCTCCGCTTCACCCTTCAAGCTCCCCTATGACAACTTCTTACAGCTTTTTCCAGAAGCTGGTATCTTCCTGACAGTAACAAGAACAGGGTCCTTATAGGTAAAGGAGGGGTAGGGGGAGCTCAGCAAATGTCACCTGTCCTGAGGCTAACATGGACATGTGGCACCCAACTGATCCTGGGTGAACAGAAAGGCACATTGGGAGCTTAGGGAATGCTTGGGGACTTCAAGGTGGGGTGGAAAGCAACATTTCCTGAAGAAACAAAGCTGCCCGGTCAACCGAGGGAGGCTCAAGGACACTGCAGGCTTCTCACATGACTTGGCTGCCTGGCATTTATGAGGATTCTGTATTAATATTCGTTTCTTTATTAAGTAAGAAAGCAGGAGCCCTTTGCCATCTGTTCGTCGTTCTCTTTGCCACTGGTAGGAGTGCAGAAGATTCAATAACAGCTTTACGGAAGGCTATAACCAGGTTTACCTGCAGCTGGATGGCCTGGGCTTGGGCCTGAGGCAGTGGCAATAAAATAATAAAAGCTCCTGTTTGTGAAACAAGATAAAGCAATGAGGGCTGCCCACGTGACAGAACTACTTTCAAAAAGCCTCTGTGAACCTAGGTGACATGCTTTCCTCAGACTTCACATAAACCAGGCCACGTTATTCAGAAAGCAGTGGGGAGGAGCATGGGTCCATGTGGGGTGGATGGCTCTCTAGGGGTGCTGGAAGCCTAAAACATGGCTCTGTTTCTACATAACAGCCCGAAAAAAACCCTTACGCACTAAACGAACACAGTGGCACTCACCTCCAGCTCCGAATGTATACTGAACCTCACAGAAGCTGTCTACAGTCTAGATGCTGATACATTTCCATTCTCGGGAGTGAATAGAAAACAGGGAACATATTCGTACCTTGTTTTACAATTGCCTTTAATGAAGGCTGCCTTCTTCTCCTACCAATCAAGATCCTTCATAAATTTCCAATCCATACATTCTCCTCCTTTTCCCATTTGAACCTTTAGACCACTTTCTTCTTCCAAATCAAGTCCCAGGTTGTTACCTCCTGCTGTTAACCCCATGCCAACACATTTCCTTGGTGTGCTAAAGCAAGCCCTCGAGTTAAGGGAACACTGAAAACTGCAATTCTCATTCAAATGCTTTCTAAGAGTGTCTAAGAGTGTTGTTCCCAATTTAATTATACCCAACCCAAAGATGCCTTTTGATCTGCTGGTTTAATTTATATGCCTAAGAACATGCTACTGAAAGAAGCATATGTCAGTTTTTTTGGGCACTTATTTCTGTTCCATTTATAATCTCCCTAGATTCTAAATCAAATAGAAATTAAAAATCAACCCCTTTAGAATATGCTATACTGAGAGCCTGATTTAATTTACTTTGTTTTGTGATATTCGGGAAAGGGATTCTAGGGTGTATCTTCTCCACTGAAGAAATGGTACTGGTTCTGTCAATAGTTCTGGGCACAGAAACAGTAACAATGTTTTTTTCCTGTTAAAATAATCGAAGTTTGCATCATCTCTCAACTACTTTATTGTGATGTCACATAACACACCTTTATGTTTTTGGACACAGACTTCCACTCTGTTGCCCAGGCTTAATCAATCCTCCCCACCTCACCCTCCCAAATGGTTTGTACTATAGACACACACCACCATGCCTAGCTAATTTTTTTTTTTTTTTGTATTTTTTGTAGAGACAAGGTTTTGCCATGTCACCCAGGCTGGTCTCGAACTCCTGGACTCAAGTAATACAGCTGCTTTGGCCTCCCAAAATGTTGGGATTACAGGTGTGAGCCACTGTGCCCGGCCCTAACACACCTTTAAAAAAAAATCTAGGCCGGGCACAGTGGTTCACGTCTATAATCCCAGCACTTTGGGAGGCCGAGGTGGGTGGATCACTAGGTCAAGAGATCGAGACCATCCTGGTCAACATGGTGAAACCCCGTCTCTACTAAAAATACAAAAATTAGCTGGGCATGGTGGCGCAGCCTGTAGTCCCAGCTACTCGGGAGGCTAAGGTAGGAGAATTGCCCGAACCCAGGAGGCGGAGGTTGCAGTGAGCCGAGATCGCACCATTGCACTTCAGCCTGGGTAACAAGAGTGAAACTTTGTCTCAAAAAAAAAAAAAAAAATCTAAGGTCATAAGATTGATCCATCTCTGATAATTTTATTTTTCCAGGCTACAGACATTTGAAATACATAGTGGGTAGCTGTATCCTGTAATATATTGGCAAAATGTCATACAATATGTTCATGTAGCCTCAGAGATAGTCTATGGCCTACAGGGGCTAAGACCAAAACAAGTCTGTATCACTGAAACAACACTTGAAAAAGACTTTCCAAGGGGAGAGCATATCCTATTTGAATACAAGTCTTCGTGGTCTCACTTCCCAGATTTAGCGCAAGTGTTAGAAATTCTTTTAATGTATTCTACAGTGGAGAACTCTGCCTGTCCATGTATTATAAACTGTCCTATTAACAGGAGGGATACTGCCAAGCCCACTGGCCAGGCCAGAAGTTGAATTAGAAGAGCAGACTTAACACAATAAAAAGCCTCAATGCAAATCTAAACAAAAAACATCATCATCAACAACAACAAATCAAACACCGTCTGAGTCCAGCATCCAGCACATACATACCTCTTCTGGTTCTATCAGCTTGAACTCCATGCCTCGGCCTGTCCAGGCAATGAAGTGGGCATTGGCTGGGTCATCAAGAAGGGTGACCAGGAACTGCCACAGCTGAAGGGAACCTCGCCTCTGATAAGGGGGCCCCTCTCGATACATGGTAGGCTCCTGCTTGACTTTGCCTGTTTGGGACAAGGACATATCACACAATATCTCAGCTCTAAGTACCTCAGGTGGTTGGGATAAAAAGGAGTTGTTCATGCTGATTTAATCATTCAACTTGGGAAGACAGTCATGACTGAGGTGTACTGACATCTCCAAACCTCTACCTGGCAGCAAACCTTGGATGGGGCTACTTACCTTCCAGTCTCTCAGGCACAACACAAGTGTCATCAAAGTATAATCGGGGATCTTTTTCATATGAAAAACCTGAAAGAGAATTTAAAAAGAAAGACTATATTGCTTAACAAATTCTGTGTTGTACTAAAACTATGGATTTAAGGACTAAAGTGGGATCCTATCATATCAGGTCCTAAGCCCTACTGCTTTATTTATGCCAGACAGAATTTTCAGGGATTTCAAAAGGGCTCAGGCATTCTAATTCTGATGTAATCACCTGCGCCTCAGAGCAGAATCAATTCCTGCTTTTACAGCTAAGACTACAGGAAGTGCTGAGTCACCAGTACATTCCTTCACATTTTGCTTCTGAGGTCTGCATAGATCAATGTTGCTCTGACTAAGCCTTTATATCTGAAAACACACCTCTATTTCAGTTGGCCTAGCTGGATGGATTTGGTTGATCTGTACAAAGACCTGCCATTTTCCTGTTAGCTAAAATTAATTTCAACCTTTCCTATAAACTCATCCAAGCTACTCACATATCTCATTCAATTACGAAAGAGCTTGAAGGGTAAAGAATGTTGCCAAAATGAATGAAGACTTAGGCCTGTAGAGGATTTCGAAAGCACTACTGGAGGTGTTATTACCAAACATAGTGAAGGGGATCTGAAAAGACTTTCCAGCAATGAAACGAATTCATTGTATACATGACAAAACAAAGGTCAAGAAAGAGGAACTGGCCCAACAACACAAGTTAAAGGGCTCAAGAAGGAAGGATGGCCTGATATTCTTCTTCCACAAACCCCTAATACATATTCAGTGCTAACCACCATGCCACTAGGCACCCTGTCAAGATTGGTGTTTCTAATCAGAGCCGGGGAACAGGTAACTTTGATGGGGGCCACATTCTTCCTTGTAGTTTAGCCTGTTGGGAAGTGTAAGGTCCCCAGTGCATATTCCTTCAGCAGCACACCTCTTAGGAGAATGCCAAGGGCTCCTGTCTGACAGGAAGTGCTTCCCGGAGCTTCACTTTTCAGTCAGTTCACCTGGCTCTACAGTACAGGTCTACATGTTCCATATACAGTGGGGGCAGGCAGGGGAAAAGGCTCTGCAATGAAGGACTTTCATTAGAGTCTGAGAAGGATTCATTGCAACTTGAAAAATCCACAAGGCCGGGCACGGTGGTGAGTCCATGAGAAATTACAAGGGTGACTGTATCTGTAAAGCTTGAAGGGGTCTGAATTAGGACAGCCATAATAACAAGTGCTATGTGGCTTACGGAGGAGCAGGCAATATGTGATTTTAAACCAGTCTGTCATAGACAAACAGCCTGTAATCCCAGCACTTTGGGAGGCTGAGGGGGGGCAGTGAATCATCTGAGGTCAGGAGTTCGAGACCAGCCTAGCCAACATGGTGAAAACGCTGTCTCTACTAAAAATACAAAAAATTAGGCCGGGCGCGGTGGCTCAAGCCTGTAATCCCAGCACTTTGGGAGGCCGAGGCGGGTGGATCATGAGGTCAAGAGATCGAGACCATCCTGGTCAACA